GGAAACTGATGATGATGATGATGATCCTCTGATGGAGGCAGAGAGTTTGCAGTTTAGTTGCGAAGGCTCTTCAAATTTAGAAGAACAAGCTGAGGAAGTCAACGAAGAGTATTTGCTTACTTTATCACTAGTGAAAGATGAAGCTAAGATACATGCCGACGGCTCCAAAGAGGTTGGACGGAATGGCCTGAGGATGCGAAACCGAAGAGAAAGATAAAATTTTACAGCAAAATCATTCAATGAATTAACAGGTATAATGCACATGTAAAGTCCAAACCAGTACTTAATTAAGAAATTATGTAATTTCAAAAATAAAAACTGTCTTCTCATGATATTGTAATTTTTTGGTGTAGTTTACCTTTTCTCTGGTATACTCCCAGTAAATTGTCTGTTCAGGGTTCATCCCATCTAATGTTCAATGACAACTGGATAGATTCCAGCTCCACTATGGCCCCACTACCACACAAAGGTATAAATACAAAATGGATAGATAATCTAGATAAGGTTGGACACATTTGCAGTAATCATGATCAAATTCATTTAATTTGTAAACTCATGAAATTAATGTGAATAAAGAAGTTTCATAAAGAGGAAGGTGTTTTTTTAACATATTTTTCTGATGGATCTAAATAAACATTGGTGGATTTGTTTATAGTTGTTTACATATCACACATTTAGTAAATAGTCAAACTTATCTGTAATGTGTGTGTAAAATCTTATTTAACAAAGTATTTTTGCATTTTACTGATACAAGAAATAATGTGTACCATACAAAACTTTTATTTCAAAGTACAAAGTTCAACCTTTATTGAATTATCAATTATCACTTACTTATTTGTTCCTACCACAGCCTGTGCCCACCACCTTACTTTTATCTTTAGCAACAACAAAAAAGCTTTAACCTCTCCCTGGCACACATATGTATTGCCACCATTCTGTAACAAAGTCAACCTGCCTTAATGGTTAGCGACTATAAAGGCGCTCTATTCTGTGGTAAATGACATCAGCCAAAATGGAGAAATAATAAGAAGAAAAAAACTCCAACCAAGATGCAACAACCTGCTGCTAAGTTATTCAGTAAAAAGCTTAATAAAAGGACATCGCTCACTACATTCTACAGAATTTAAAGCCAGCACCCTAATAACATACAAACATACACCAAATTATTTGCTGGAGCTTTCACTGGACTGTTTGGTTATAAAAAAAATTAAATAAAAAAAGGGATATTTGGCTCCCTCTTGTGGTTCTATTTGGTTTAGTTTAGCAGTTTGGATTATACTGTGACATTATGGGTAATGCTCTAAAAGCATTACAGATTATTCCAAATCCTCCTCTGCAGGGAAAAGATATCAAAAGCATTTTCTGGTAAGAGCCATTACCAAAGTAAATGGCCATCATTTTGTCAGAAAATACATGCATCATTATTTGGTTTTTAAATAATATTCAACCTAATTCTCAAAATGGAGAGTGTTTAGAAATACCAGAAGAAATTTGATAACATTCTTTATTTCTGGAAATGTTTATTTTTGCTATTATATATTTCATTTTGTATCATTACTTGTTTATGTGTACAGAGGCATGTTCATTGTGCCTTGTTTTAATCTGTAAATGTCCATCACAGATTAAAATCAGGCAGCTTCATCCCCCACGAGATTCATACTGAGCCAAATTATTTCAAGTCCAGTAAAGAGCTTGACTTGAGGTGAAGAAACGTTAGTCTTTGGGTGATTCTTTTGTTTTGTTTAACTAACCTTATTTATTTATTTGATCAGGGACAATGTACAGAAACATTAAACTATCATAGATTAAAGATGTACTGCACAGTATTCTAGATTCTCAGCAGGTTTTCATTTGCAGAATCTGCGGCACATTGGAAAGGTGAGAAAGCTCAAGATAAATTAAATATCCAGATAAAAATATATCTCATGCAAAATAAATGATAACATAATTGGCTAATTAAAATCTGTCCCTTTTGTCTCCATTTTTTTTTTTTTTTTTTTTTTTTTTTTTGTGAGCATGGAGATTTTTCCATTCCTCTACTGTATAACTTCTATTACAAAAAAAACAGACCGTTTTGTATTTAGCGATGTTATATTTCCTCCTGGTTGTTGTACTTCTTCTAATAAACTGTTTTGTGAAAACAGAAGGACATGTAGGACTGCTTTAATCCATAGCAAATACCCCTTTTCATTTTCAGACTGGTTTTCAAGTTGGTCACTAATGGTAATAACAATTTTTTTTAGTTACTATGCATCTTTTTTTAATCTCTTGTCAAACAAAAAACACACAAACACACCTTTCCTGGTCTGAGATGTATTTTTGCATAAACGCATCATCTAGTGCAGTGTTTCCCAACCTTTTTTGACTTGTGCACCCCTTTGGGCATTTTGTCTTACCATGAGTACCCCTCTCAGTCAAAAGTATTGATGATTGTCCAAAAGGGGAACGTCCAATAACTCAGTGTTTTTCAACCCTGGTCCTCAAGACACTCTGCTCTCTATGTTTTGGATGTTTCTGAGCTTCAGCACACCTGATTCAGATGATTGCAGTTGAGCAAAGCCTGATAATCTGCTATCAATTGAAAACAGGTGTGTGAAAGCTGGGAAACATCTAAAACATGCAGGGCAGTGTGCCTTTAGGACCAGGATTGAAAACCACTGCGAATAACTGATTATAAAATAAAAACTATTTTACTTAATCTTTTTAACTTGAGCATCCAATTCTTGGGCATTTTATGCTTTCCATCTCAAATAAATACAAAATAAATATGATGCCTAGAAATTAGTAAGGAATCAAAATAAATACAACATCAAATCATATTATAAACCTGTATTTAAAAAACTGGAGCTCCTCTGAGTAACTCCCCTGTACTCATTTAAACTGGATGAATTGGGAACAAAATATAGAATGAAACTGATAGTCAGACTGACTTAATTAGTTTTGTTATCATTAAGACACCTGACTCAGGTTGGTGACATAATATTTGACCATGCAAAACACAGATTTGCCTTCACTTTGCCTCAGAAGGGCTAGATTTATCCTCAAAAAAGTGAACCTTTACATGAAATTTTGTCTTTATAATGTTTTTTGTTGTTGGCATTCATATAAATATACTGGTGTTATAAATAAGTAAATGTTTGATTGGTTTTTGGTATAAGTCTACTTTGAATTTACAGTCCCCCTGGACATAACTTCACCAGCCGCCACTGCACTTGAGCTGCTTTAATGAACTCCGATAGCTCAGTGTGAAAAACAGCTGATACAATGCGGTTCTCTATGCTGTTCCTCTGCTTGGTTTGGATGTGTGTCAAAGCTGAAAGAAACTCAAAGAAAATTTTACCTTTTAGTTAATAAAAGCATGTTTAATTTTTTAATTGGGTCCTCACAAAACAAAATAGATCCCAGTCCTATTCTTTTTTGCTATCTAAGAAATAAAATATTAATATACCCCTTGCAATGCACTCACGGACCACTAGGAGTATGCACACCCTGGTTGGATATCACTGATCTAGAGGCATGCATTAGAGACTAGAAATCAGCAAACCCTGTGAAGATGGGTTCAGAAGTGATGTATTTTAATATTTTTTCAGTCCACAATTGCTTTCTCAGACATTTCTGTAATGCTGGATCTGTTACTGTGTATTTGTGACACTTCTAATGACTTTTGAAGCATTTATTGGTTGGAAGAAACACTGTTCAGATGCTTTAAATTCTTTAGAAAGAAAGAAAAAAACCAACAGAATCCACAATCTTTTATTTGACATACTGTAAGTTTATTTTCTTTTCATGATCAAATGACTTTTTTTTTTAACCACCAGTGTAAAATTGTACACCATTTACTGTACATAATAATGAGAGCTCTGAAACCAGATCATGACAGAACCTTTGGGTCCTAGACACATAAAAGCAGACTTTACAGCAGGTATCAACCATTTGGAAATAGAAATTTCAAAGAGAACACAACTGAGTACAAGAATAGCATATTTGTTAAGGATCTTTTCATAACCCACAGTAACAAAAATGGTGTAAGTGGCTGTTCTTTGCAACCACTTGTAGCATTTTGTTAACGGTTGTAAAATAGAAAATCTACTACTTTACATTAGACGACAAAAGATTCCACCCTTAAAGTGTCATGTACAATATTTTAAGTAAAAATGCCAACAGTGTGTGATGTACTGATTTACTGCCAGTTAAATATGGAATGTACAGAAATTCTTTATGGAGCATAAAGATTTTGAAATATGTCCAAAAAAAGATATGTTTTAAAACAAAAGGTGGATTTGCACTCTTTGTTGGCAGTAAGGTGATTGTAGCTCATATGCTGTTAATAATTAAGAGACTTTGATGGACATAAGCAGATTCTTGCTTGGCTCAATATATACTTACGGAGGGACCAAAACTGAAACTTTATCCAGCATTTAGCACTTTGGAATTTAACATCTCAAAAATATTCTGCAATCCCCTGTGTTTACCAGTTCTGAACATATGCTTTAGGCAAATAAAATTTAGAGAAATACTTTCAGTGAATGTGAGAACATTAAAAAATAAATAGTAGTTCAAGTTCAAGCCATTTTGTTGCTAAACCTTAACACTGAACTTTGTCTTCAAAGGCACAATAAAGTATGTACAGTTTTTTTATCTCTCTATTACGTAATTCAAAGTAAAGTGCACCATCATCCTGTACATTCACATTTAACTGTGTGATATAATATGGTAGACAGCACAGCGTAACATGCCTTTGCCCTTTTGGAGTCTGATTCTTAATGGATTCTTTTGGAACCAAGCGATTTTCTAGCGATGATGATTCATGTTTGCAGCAACGAACAGCCAGTACTGATAAAATTGTTACAAATTACGGTAATAAAAGAAATTAGCATGCATGAATTATGGAAAAAGAAAAATGATGTAATGAGCATGTTTTGTTTTGTGTTTTTTTTTTTTTTACAAGATATAATTCATGCATGATATTTATGTTTGAGGATGTGCTGTAGACGGCTATCCGTTGAGCTGCTCAGACATAGTCCAGTGTTAGCTACAATTTACAGGGAAGGAAATGTTAAAATCATATCGCTACTAAATAAAAAAAAAAGGGTACATGTTTAAAATGCAATTGCAGAATACTAAATTATATTTCTTTATATAATTCCTTTGATCTTTCTTTTCTTTTTTGTGCTTTTCTTTTACGGATCATGACCATTTACCCCCTTTTTGCCCTTAGGCAATCATAAACACCTAGAAAAAGAAGCACACAATGTATTTTGAAGTATGCAGAAGTTCAAAGGTACTGGGTGATTTTAAGAGCTCAAACTGACCCAAGGGATACACAAGCAACCCTCAAGGACAGATGAACCAGCTTTTGTCTAAACCTCTGAGTTGAGTCTATTCACAGGCAAGTTTACTGTCAAAGCTGGAGAGGGCAATGGCAAAGGCTTGCAGTGCACACATTGGGTAGTTATAGTCCATAGTGAAGACATCCTCTGCCACACGGCCGAACTGCATCACAATGTAGTCAGCTGTCAAAAAAGGAAACATTTACTCAATCTGCACCAACTTACAAAAACTACAAAAACTGTAGAAGTTTATGTTTATCAACCAGAAAGAATAGTGAGATTTAATACAAATTACTAAACAGTGGCATAACTGGCCAGGTTTTCACTCTGGTTTCCATGTGTCAATCAAGACAGTGAGTAAAAGAAAGCATAACAGACCAATCAGACAACATTACCAACACCTGGGTTTATCAGGTTATGTTGAGCAGTTGCTTGACATATGGCTTGCAGATATCACAGGTGCGTAGGTATGTCATGGGTATGTAAAGACACCCACACAAAGCTTGTGTCATCCCACAATATGTTGTAAAAATTAAGTTCCATGTGGTTGGAAACTATAAAAGAGGAAAACGATGTCATGTGTACACCCAAAATACACTCCATGTCAAACTCTGTTAAGTGCTGGTAATGCTGTCTTATGTAAAAGGAAGCCTCTTTGCCTAGTGACTTTTTTCTTCTGTCAACAGGACTGTTGCTCCCGCAAGGCCACTAAATAAATATGGCATTTAATGTGCAATGCATGAAAGCTCCTTGCAAAACTCATTAAGTTGAGAATTTAGTCTAGATAAAAACAAATTAAATGACTACACACTGACGCTTTTTTGTAGCTACTAAAAACCTTAAGTAGTTTGTTTTTGCAGGATCTGTCTCTCGCATTCTTTCTGACATTGATGCTTGCAGACAGTTATTTTTGGACACAGCTGTCCAACTAAAGCATTTCAGCTGTGTCTGAAAATTTTGACCTTTTTGCGTCTGAAATCTTTAGACCATTATACAGACTTTAATTATTCTCTTGTGTACCCGTTTCTTTTGCTGCGGTTTTTTTTAACCATTTTCCTGTTGTTGATGCAGTTTAGTCTATCATATAGCTGTCAAAGATGGCCTTACATTTAGCTCCTATACTACTTTTATATAGAGCTGTGTTCCTGGTTGACTTGATTACAGCAAGGTGTGCCCCAGTCATATAGCCTGGCCAGCCAGACTGATAAAGCATGCATACATCGTATCAACCTAGTAAAGAGCTGGTTGAGCTCAATTACAAAGGTGGGACCAACACGGTCAGCATCATCAGGTTAAAACCAATCAGATAACTACAGATGTGACACAAAAACTCAGAGCAACGCACTCTGTTTTTGTGGTTTCTGTTTAACATGTCGAGCTGTGGAAGAAACTCTCCAGTGAGCAATTTCTGACGGTTTATATCTGCGGATATAAAGTGTGCTCTCTATCAAGTTCTTAATTTTGCCTGCAACATTGCTCCATTGCGGTCGCAGCATGTCATGCTAGCAGAAAAGCCCTGCTGTAGTATGAGTAATTCTGGCGTTGGGAGTCGCGCATCATAAAGAAGCACCTTCCGAAGTCTGATTGGTCCAGCCAGATCTGGCCACAGTCAATGGTGTTTTCCAGACTGAATTATGTTCTGTGCCATTCAGTCTGGCTGGCTGGGCTAGCAGCCATCAACCTGTCAGCACCATGCTCAACAGTTACCATGATCTGTTAAAACTCCATCTAATTTTAAACAACATTTTTGTGGAATATCCTGTATCAATTTTTTCACTGTCTGCAGCAACATTTTTCTTTAATCATTCTTTTCTTTGCAGCAGCTTTTCTCTTGACATTGTATATTTTTGACTTGTCATTATTTTGGAAAAACACCACCTCTTCTGATTAATTTACTAAGATAAAATTTAAGCCCCGTGGTGAAACCTACTTTGTAAAGAGGAAAAACAAAAAGGAGATCAAACTGTGAAATTCACAACATCTTATTCTGAGTGCTTTACTGAAAACCATCTTTCCACTCTCTACTGTACCAAAGTTGAAGGAACTTACGGTCGTTGTCGTGAATGATTTGAAAGTTTTTCACAGAAGCTTGTGTGACCCTGCCATGGAAGTTCAGAACATAGGACTGAGTGTCATCATTCCACACAGGTGTCTTGTTGTGAAGTTCAATCACAGTTTCTGTGTTCTTGTTCTGCCACCTTGCCAACAGAGATTCATGCTCCTGAAATGAAGAGCAATCAAACACCTTTGGAACTAGGCATCAAAGTTGTTTGATCAATTACAAAATTATTAGAAAGACTTAAATAGCTTAGCACATGTGTGGCAGTATATTAACTCTTACATTGCGCGGCCTAATGGAGACTCTCTCATGATCCATGTTCATTCCAGGAATAATGACGCTCATCTTGCGTGGTCCTTTGAATCCTAAAACATTGGTTTCCTGGATTGAAAAGATAATAAACTACATAAAATCTAGTAGGAGGACATTTCATCAAAAATATGAGACACTGATCATGTTTGAAACTTTTTTTTTCAATCAATGTAGTAAATAAGATTTACAAAAAGCCACATTAAGATTAATCATCAAATAGAAAAGGATTGATTGTTTGAGTAAATAAAGCCAAACAAACACATATTTAAACATTTTTTAGTGACATTAAATGAACATTTATTTAGGCTAAGAAGCTATGGATATGGATTGAATAAATAAATGCAATCCTCTTTTTAAATTTCACCTGTTTTATAAATACCTATATTATAGCTTTTTTTGTAATATAGGCTTCTTTTAGTTGGATAAGAATGAATTAGATAAATAGTTGGTATTTTTAATTGTTCTTTTCTTTCTATGATCCCAGGTCCGTTACTTTCTGCAGTATTTTAAAAGTAACGTAAATAGAAATAAGGTTAACAATTGTAAACAATTTGAAGATATATTAATGATGTAATGATGACAGCCAAGCCATTATACTCACATAACAAATGGCAGCTAGCTCTTGGCGAAGATTGCTGGCGTCTAGGCTGGTAGTGCCCTTCATGGGGTTCAGTCCGTTGTCATAAACGGTAAACTTGGTACCCATGAGGTTTGACCTGCAAAAAAAGCATTAGGCAATAAAGTCAAAAAGAAGTTTCATGTTTTTAATCACTGTATATATTTATCAAAACCATAATAGCCTTTTAGGAGTCATTTTATAGAATGTAGAAGTGTGAAACATAAGATCGGACAGCAATTATTTAAAAATTATCTAAAAGAGCCTTAAAAAGGTAATTATTTCCTTAAACTTACATTTGACAACAAATTCTGTTTCATTCTTTTTTACTGACCAACTCATTTTACCTAATTTTAAAGTGCAAAATTAAGAAAATGTGGCTTTAAATATTGTTGTAGAATAAATTTAAAAAAATCAAAATTGTGAAGCCTGTATTTCTGTTCGACCTCCTTTACTGCGATACTCCCATAAAATTCTAACCACTCCCTTCAGAAGTCACCTATTAGTAGGTCTACATTTTTTGAAAGGCCTCAGCAGTTATTTAGATAACATTAGGGAACAAACATTATCATATGGACCATTTCAGGGTCATTTTTTTTTTACCTTGGATCCTAAGAGGGTTAAAGAAGCAGCTCAAGAGAACCTTGTGGAAGATGGCAGCATTGGAGATGCCAATCCTGTCAGCTTCCATAGTGCAGACTATAGCTGTATTTTTTCATCTTAATAGACCATATAAATTATCATAGTTTGAATGATACATTCTGCAGAGGGAGAATGATCGATGATGAAGTGGGATCACACCTCGATTTGAATGCCTACACTTGAGGCACCACCTTTTTTGAGAATATGAAAGTACATATTCAAGGCTCATTAACAACCAAAGACAAATAAATACAAATAAAATAAGATGTTTAAAAGCATTCAATAAAAAAAAAACATTACTTAAATTCAAAGAGTCAAATATAATTTAAATATAAATAAATTTGCCTTATTTACCAGTCATTGCTACACATAAATACAATCAAAACATGCACACTATATATATTCAGATATATATATATATATATATGAAAGAATGATCGCAAAAAGGAGGAATTTAACTTTGCGTTATTGTTTCTATATCTACAGCTTAAAAACTACTGCCTGTGTATCTCTCTAAAAGTCACTCATCATTAAGGCTAGTCCTCACAAGGACTCTTGAGTGAGTGTTCATATAAGTTTAGATCTCAATCATTCAAGCAAGATTGAGACTGTAGAGGTTTGAGCAGCGGACAGACGAGCTCTGAAGATTAAAAGGCTCCGCAGAGCCATGTTTGATTACTCTGCAAAGGAGTTTCCATGGAGCTGCTGCATTGATGTTCTCTCTGATGTTGACATTATAACTCAGTTCAAATAAAGCAACAGATAAAACAATAATTTTTAATAAATAAAAAAGATCACCTAACATTTTAAAAAGTAAAACTGATGTGGAATCTGTCATAGTTTTTTTTTTATTATTTGATATTTTTGCTAATATGTAATAAATACACCCCAAAAACCTTTACTATCAAAAGTTTCTAAACATACAGTAAAAATATGAAATAAAAAATGTTTATTGTAAAAATGTATATTAAATGTATATAAAAAAAATCAATCCTAATATTAGGACAGGAAATTAAGTAGGTAGATAAAACATTCTTCCATATATTTTCTTATCCCTCATTATCCTGATATGAGAAACTAAACAGTTTTCTTACATTTCTGCATTTATCAAGTAGACTTTTGTTTTGTATAAAAAAAAAAATGAAAATACAGAAATTAACCAGACTTTCAAAGATACATATCAATCTTGGTTAGAACCCAAAACAAATCTGTTCACTATTAACTACATACCAGGTGTTTCTATTTTATCAGAGTATATAGAGTACACTCTATAGTGCAAAATATCTAGGGAATTCACCTCAGTTTTCCAATGAAGCTCTCCCCACCACGAGACAGATCGGTGGGATCAATGGAGATGAGGTAATTGGAAGTTTTACTCTTTTTCCTTTTCCTTCCAGCTAACAGGAATACCTGTAGAATTTTAGGAAAGAAGAAGAAATACAGTCGAATAAGCATGACGGTTAAATCCAGTAATTAAGATAACATAAATGTTTTTAAAAAAATTAAATGTTCTTTTCATTGAGAACACTTGTTCTGCTGCTGCTGCTCTTCTCCTCTCACCTTCTTCCCATCCTCCCTCTCCAGGTGAAGATAGTAGGTGGGATACATTCCTCTGTCCATGCCTTTTTTGTCCCTGGTGATTCTGCATTTCACTCTGACGCCCTGTGGGGCGGGCCGCAGAGAAAACTCCTCCAGGTCCTCAACATCGATGGCAGGTTCATTTGTTGGCGGGGTGGGTGCTGAAGCCACCTCCTATTAGAGGAAACAGTATTATGTATTAAGATTTTTTAAAAAGATAAAAAAATCGGGTCAGGCAGTGTAATAAGCCTGGAGATCAAACTGCCCACAGGGACAGAAAATGAGCACACATTGCTTAAAATAAAGATCCAGTGAAGGAAAGAGGATTGAGCTGATTGAAAAGGAAGGTAAAATGAGGAGAGAGCAAAAAATGTCCTAATAGAAAGTTAAAGCCACAGACACTGTTATCGCATATAAACAGAGGCGTCATGTAACAAAGTACAAATACTTTGGTACCTCACTTAAGTAGAACATTTGGCTATCTATACTTTATTGGAGAAGTTATTTTTTTGACAACTTTTTACTTCTACTCCTTACATTTTTTTTTTGCCATTATCTCTACTTTCTACTCCTTATATATTAAAAAATAGACTTATTAGTTTTGTTTCATTTAAGCTCATTTTCATTATGGCCTGTTGGTATTTAAAAAAAGTTAAAACCATCAAAATAAGTTGTTTCATCCAGACAATTAATTTCTTTGTGGTTGGTACGTTTTTCAAGATGACGCAAAGCTAAATTTGACACTGTTACCATTAGTTATAAAATTAAGAAACTTAAGTATACGGAAGTTATTATGCAGAATTGTAGGGAGATGTCCGTTTTATAGGGTAGCACAGTAATCAGTATAAAGTTTAAAGCATAGGTTCTTAATATTTTTTCCTGTTATGACTGGAGTCGTCGACTTAATTGTACAAATGTGAGTGTGCAGGTGCCTGTCTCTGATTGGTTCCTTGAAGACGACAGAGACGTCCAATTGGTGGCCTTCCGGAGGTGACGGATATAAAAGCTGCAGATGAGAATTTCCTGCTGACCATCCTCAGCTCATCTCAACCACCACACTGTTTGTCTGTTAACGCCACGTAAGAGTAGAGTTTGTAGTATTGAGCTGTCGTTTAAATTTGCTTAGTTTTCTCATGTTCTTAATTAGGGAGGTAAGATTTTGTCATTTGATTAATTTACTTTTAATTAGGTACGTTTCGGTTAATGTTCAGATAGTTTCCTTTTGTTTGTTGTTTTCAGCATTATAGCTCACTGAAGCCATTTGCTCCATTAGTAACATATTAACCAAAAATACATCTTTTTGAAATAAATAACATTATAAAAAGTTCATCTTCGTGTGTGTTGGCTGCTTGGGATCTGAATAGGATGGAATCTTCATGCTATGATCCGGCCACCCTGAAACGTGTCATAACATTTACTTTTAAAAATTGTGCTTTTACACTTTTAGTTGGGCAAAAAGCTTAATTTGATACAAAATGATGCCGTATTTACCTTGTGCCAAAGGAAGTAGGCATTCTTTGGGCCTGTAACTGTGATCAAACACTAATTATGTAACCACATTATTTAAGATGAACAGTTTTAATTTTTAACTGCAAATCAGATTTACACTTGTTATGTTATCTGTTTTGTAATGAGATTGCTTATTTAGTCAGCCTTTTTACTTAAAAAGGTCTTTATTCACAGATTCGTGCTAATTCATCAGTCGTTGTTTTTTATGTCAAATTAGATGTTTAATTAGAACTTAAGGGTTCTCTCTGGAATTGTTTTATAGCAGTAATCATATTCCACTAATACATATGAAAAGAAGTAAACAAAAGAATACATACAAGCCAGTTAATATCCCAAAGGAAGGTAAGGACCTTAAATGTCCGTATGGAGATGCTACATACATCATCCTGTGGTAAAAAAGTATCCTCATATATGCTGTGTCTTTGCTGTGGAGCAGCATCACAGACAGAGAGGCCAAGCAGCTGGATAAGCTGGTGAAGATGACTGGATCGGTGATTGGAGTGAGCCTAAAGCCCCCAGGCACCGTTCTGGAGTGGCACATGATGAGCAAGCAGCTGGTCATCAGGGACAATGCCAACCATCCACTTTACCACATCCTGGTAGAGCAAAGCAGCAGCCACTGTGGATGGCTGATCTACATGTGATGCGGACCGAGAAGCACAGGAGGTTCTTCCCTCCAACAGCCATCAGCATGTATAACAACTCAGTCAATGGCAGAAGCTCCTGAGGTGGTTGTGTGTGCTGCCCCCTGATAGCTCACATGTACAATGTGGTCAAGACTGAGGGTCCTTTAATGCTTGGTTGCTGTTGTCGTTGTTAGGTATTTGTTGTTTGTCTGTGTGGTAAATGTCTCCAAGTGGGGAAGCTGATTGAACAAAGCAGTTCAATCAGCTCCCTTTCTATGCAATTAATTTGTAACTTCGAAAGGGCTGTATTTCTTCACTGGATTCACAAATCTGATTGCACTGGAGTGGGCTCCAAAATTTCAGTAGATGGGAGAAATTTACCTCTGTTATATGTGCTGTTTTAGCAACAATAATAAGATATAGGGAAGGGATAAAAGAGATATAGGAAACGCAATTCTTTTATTAATTTTGCTGTTTTCATCATTGTTATACGTAAAAGAAAATACAACTTTCAGTAAACCATTTGTGACTGGTTGGAATAAAAAAAAATGCATTTGTAAAAATCACGGATGTAAAAGTGTATCAGATTATAAAATGATTACTTAGAGTCATATAGTTTTTATTTTGATGGGAAGAGAAACACTTAAACATGATTTATCCTATCTAATATCAGTTAATAAATAAAGAGAGCATCTCTGTTTACTCTTTTTGTATTTTTCTACTGATAGGTGCTGGTTGTGTGCTTACTTGGCACCTTCTCCTCTTTTCTCAACCTTCACAGCACCAGCTGACTGGGACAGAGATCCTCGGGGCCCCTAACCAAAGTAGTGCAGTATGGACAGACCTTCTGTTATTTTAATTCTGTCTAATACCTGATGAAAGTGGAGCGTTTGCTAAGCAACAGTTTTTAAGAGGAAATAAATTTGTAAATAGATCAACCATTTCATAAGGGCTCAGTTTTCCCTGTTGTGAATTTCCTGACTCGTTTCTACTTTGCTTTTTAAAAACCATGTGTGCAACAGGTCACGGCTCTCTCTTGTTCTTCTTTGATGGTATTACCATCCTTTTCAGGTAGACAATGTTTATTTCCTGTCTGTTCTGCAAACAGAAAGGGAACCCAGAGTCCAGAGCTATTTCTTTGGTATTCTCTTTTTTTTTTTACATAAAAACACATAAACTTGAAGTGACTATCCCCTAATGCATGCTAAACACCTTGTTTACTGTAAATGGCAGATCCATCCATCCACCCATATTCTAACACGCTTATCCCGAGTGGGGTCGCTAGGGGTGCTGGTCCCTGTCTCCAGCTGTCTATGGGTGAGAGGCGGGGTGCTCCCTGGACAGGTCGCCATTCCGTCGCAGGGCAACACAGAGACAAACATGACAAACAACTATTCACACACATACTCACACCTAAGGGGACTGTAGAGAAGCCAATTAACCTAACAGTCATGTTTTTGGGAATGTGGGAGGAAGCCGGAGTACCCGCAGAGAACCCACGTATGCTCAGGGAGAACATGCAAAGCGTAGTGGGCAGCAGTGTTACCCACTGCACCACTGAGCACCTAAAGGGCAGATGTTCCCTTAATTTTATTTGACATATTTTAATAATCCACTTTTTTGGTCCTTAATCAAGGGAGCCAGGTGATTTGAAGATATTCACAGGATTTTTCTAGCCAACAAGAAAAACTAAACTATATAACAAAATGGCATTTGTGTTTCTGCTGTATCAAAATAAAAGATTCCTTACTGCAGTCCTCCATTAGACATGTCTCTTATGTTGCAGAGGAGTCTCTGCTGCAACAAAGTTAAAGAACTGACTGAATTACCTCTTTGGGGTCTCTTAACATTCTACAGAGGGCATGGTAAAGTAACACTGATATATTCGTTGAATCAGGAAGACGATCTAAAACAGGCAGCATGCCGCCTCCTGAGGAATGGAGTTGGAAAACCATATGCTGAGTGATAAAGTTAACTCTGTAAGTAATATCTGTATGTAGTAATATGTCGACACATCACAGAAATCATTGATGTCAAATATAGATTCTTAGTAAGGCTAAATATTTCAGTTGTGTTTCTTGATTCTAAAGACTTCTTTATGTCCTATACTTCCACAGGTTATGATAATATCAGTAACTGAAACTGTCCAAGCACTTCAGGCATAATTGTTGAGTCAAGTTGAGAAGCAATAACCTTGCTTACAATCTGAATTCTAATGGTCTTCACAACACACACAAGAATCCATGTTGACCCACTCCAGCTGCATCCCCTTAAGACCGACCAATTTTAGGTAGATCGATCACGTTCATAGGCGGATCTACTGGGGTGGCATAGGGTGGCAAATGCCAACCTAAATGACAGCTTGCCCCCCCTGCTGCCACCCCAGTTAGCGGTAAGGGTAGAAAGGCTTATAAATTATGGTTAATTTGAGAATAACGACCAATAATTTCTAATGTCGGACTGCAGTGAATGCAGCACGAGATGACGGGAGAGCGACTGAGACTGATTTGTTTTAAAAACCGAATGGGGCAAAGCGAGGGAGCCAGGGATCATGGGGAGAGGAGACACAGGATGAAACAGGTAAAAACTGATTAACTATGTATCGAGAAATTAAATCATAATGAAAGCACAATGTTGCTAGCATAGCTGCGATGCTGATTTTGAGATGATAAAAATCAGGTTGCAGAACGTTATTTCTCTAACGATGATGTTAGTTACAGTAGGCCTGACGTTTCAGGCTCATAAAGACATATTTGTGGTCAACTATGACAGAAAAAAGACTATCAAGTTTGGTTGTACTCAAATCAAAACGCAAAAAGGCATTGGATCTAAATAAAGTTGTGAAGCGTTTTGCTGAGCAACATGGAAATCGCCGTATTCAGCTGTTATAGTCATGTTAACTTTATGTTAAGCAGTGTTGTTGTTTCTTTTTTTGTATATATAGTATGAAACTATCCAGAAATTACCTGTATGAACCTACTCATAAAATGTTTTGTACTTTTTCAGACTGGAAGCAAGATGTATTTTTATGTTGCTTCTTTTCAGATTTGTGGAGTTTTGGAGGTAACATACAGTACCTGCCTTTTGTGATTTTTTGATACAGCAGCTCTATCTACAGCATATTTACATGCATGAAATGTCCCTTTTATGTTGCCTTAACTGCTGTATGTCAAGTTACTGAGGAACAAATGGAGTAAATGTGTGTTCAGAGTAAACAATACATGGGTGTCTGGTACCTTGTTTGGGTGCCTTGACCCATTTATTTCTACTGTGTAGTAATGCTCACTTTAGAACAGCTCAGTCCATAGATTTTTGATGGGTAACTTTTTTCTTCCTATAGTTTCTTCTTGTGCAAATGCTGCAAAGCTGCCTCTCTGACAGTCAATATCACACATCTGCGACTCAGCACCTGTTTTCTTACCTTAATACCTTTCCTGTGATAATGCCCCTCTAGAAGTAGTGTTATCATTCTTCTATCTCCTATTAAGTGAGATCACATTGTACAATGTATTACTAATATGAACTGTTTCACATGAAACATTTACTGTACATACTATTCTCACCAAACTGTGATAACTGTGATTAAATTCAGTGTAAACAAATGCCATATGTTGCCACCACTCAAAAATTCCTGCCCCCCTCTCGCCACCACATAAATATTTTTCTAGAACCGCCCCTGATCACGTTGCAGTGTTATGGGAAAAATAGCTGTGATTAAAACAAGAGCTGCTGAGCTTCCATCTTTTAAAGTGGAACCTCAAGAGTGCAAAAGTTTAAATGGTTGTGGCTTCCTATGAAGTCTGCTGCTATTTCATATGTTACCATAATTGGCTAAAATCCAGCTTTGGTAGGCAAGAATTAGGCATAAATTCGCCTACAGTAATGAACCTTCTGAGCCTAAACTCAGTAGGTTCTGCTAAATGTCCCTGCTTCCTTTAAACAGATTTGATCGAAGCAGTCCCAGGTTAATAATGCGCAGAACTAACCTTGAGTGTTACACTTTATTATTTTTGGCTTACCAAGTTAGAGAGACATAGTGCACATTTCATTCTCTCTACTTATAACAGGTTGATGACACAGTGTTTATCCGAGAAATGAAATTCATTTTACCTTGGATGACTTCTTGCTGGTGGCAGATCCTGGTCTTGTGTTGCTGTTGAGCTGTGAAGAACTTGAGCTGATTTCATCATCATCATCCTCTTCTTCATCAAAATTCATACTGCTTGATATACCTTTGGAATAAAAAAAAAAAAAAAAAAAATATATATATATATATATATATATATATATATATATATATATATATATATATATATATATATATATATATATATATATATATATATATATATAAATGTATATTACGGTAAAACAGGAAGAATTAAAGGAAACCCATTAATTTAAACATTTAAAGAAAAATAAAAAAATAAATTAAATTAAAAATCCACATTTGTGCATTTTCTTCACTGACTGGCCAACAGTCTTGCTGAACCCTATATAACATTTTCATTCTAACTATAAATCATGTCTACATTAGGGAAGACTAAAGAATAAACTATTGAGTATTTTCTACAACATGATCCTAATCTCAGTATTGCTGGGTTTCAAAAGGGATCAGCTGTTTCGGAAGGATGATAGATTAAAGATCAGTCAGAGTGTTTTACTCACTTATTAGGGTATGGTAACTAGTCAAGTGTAAAAGTGACCTGGAGTGTGGCAGGGGTAAATAAAAAAATATAAAGACGAGAAGTTTTACCTTTCTTAAGCATGGTGACACGCAGGTCCTGCCTACTCTGTGACTGAGTGCAGCTCATAACCGGCTCTGCCTCGCCCTCCTCTGCAGCACAGTGGCCCACTGTCAGGATCTGGATCTGACTGTCATCCTGCAGGGCAGCTGGGCTGTTGATCGCTGCCACACCATCATGCAAAAAGAAAAAGCTTTTCAGGATGCTGCTCAAAAAAATAAATTACTATTCTTGCTTTGCATGTAAAACTATACAATTTAGTCTTCTATCATATTTATTTTAGAAGCAGATACTGAGATGTTCAGGGGGGGAAATACTTGCCATTAATTTGTGAGAGTTTAAAGTTAATTGTGCTGAGAAATTTAATGCTTCTAGCTTGTATGTAAAACTGGCAAACTTTATAGCAATGTAATAAATTCAACTTCCAAAATATAATACAATAAAACATAACTAAAACCACATTTTTAACAAGCACTGCTAAATGAAATGAAATCCATGCAAAAAATTCTATAGGTTCTCTTGCATTACAGACTATTACATTTTGCACTGACTATTGCAAAATTCTGTGATTGCTCTGTTTTAAAAGTGAGAATGTGAATGAAAATATGTGGCCCATTTTGCAATATACAATCCCTGTGTCTGTTGTTGTCATCAAAGTGCATTTAATAACAGCCATGATATGGATTCTAGACTTTAAATATTGTTTTTTTTAATAAATGCAAAACTTTAAACCATTTAGTTGCTTATAAGTTTCACTGCCATGGTGTTAAATTACTTGTAGGAACATCAACAAACCTTATAACATTAAATGCACAGGCTATCAGAACAATGTGCTATATAAACAGAGGAGGAATAACAGAATGAAGTTGATAAAACAATTTAGTACAATTTAATAGGGGCAAGAACATGTTGTCCGCTTACTTACGATCCAAGATCAACAGAAAACATCTAAACCAGTAAGAGGCAAGCTGACACATTCAACCAAAGAGGCAACATCTGTGTTGACCATTGTCCATAGCACTTAGTTTGTGGTAATGCAAAACGAAACAAGTTTGGGTTATTATGGCTAATTACTGTCGACAAATAGGAGCATAGGGGACTGTTGGCCTAGTGGCCTTAGTGCAGTGTGCTTGTGCTCTGAGAAGTTTGCAAGTATCCGGTTCGATTCCCTCATGCTGATCTCTGGATCCCTGAACAAGACCCTTAACCACACAATTCCCCGGGCACCACACAATGGCAGCCCACTGCTCCCCCGAAGGGGATGGGTCAAATGCAAAGGTAAATTTCTCCAATGTGAGATCAATAAAATTCAATTATTAAATCTCTCTGTAAGCAAACTCTTTTTCAGCACCATGGAGAGCGTAACCTTTAAGACTTGAATAATAAATTTAGGACATTCTGATTAGCCATGTTATCCAGCTGTTAGTGGAAAATTACACAATTTACTGAAGTGAAAGGGTCTTTTATAACATTTCAAACAATGCAGAATTTTCATCTCAGCAACTTTATCCTTAAAAGCCACCATTCTATCCTTAAAACCCCAGAATTGGCCAGTGACCTTTTGTCATCGAGCATGCATAAATAAAGCATGAACAATAAATACTGGCTGTTTTTTTTAACCATATCGAGCTTGATTCAATCAACTGATCAATAAAAGTTTATTTATAAAGCACATTGTATATTAGTAACAATAACCACCCCTAAAAAAGAGAGAGAGCAAGAGAATCTCTGATAAAAGGAAAATGTAGAACTAGTATCAGCTAAATGAAAGCGTGTGTGTACTTTGTGTACTTTCTGAAGTTTCCATGTTGTATAGGGACATCTCATTGACTTCTATTCATTTGTATTACTTAACCCAGATCCTAATCATGACCATGACCAACTAGCCCTAACCTAAACTGATTTCACATCATGCAGCCCAAACCCAAGAAGAGAACTTTTCCTTACAGGGGACCAGTTCAGTGGTCTCCACAAGTAACTGCACATTCCCATAATCTTGAATATTTAACAAAAATCTTTCTTAGACTATGAGAGTGTGTTTGGGGGGCCAATATCTGCACTTCACTTTAGATCTCATTGCATTTTAAACAGGAATGTGTAATTTTGCATAAAACACAATACAGGTTATTCCAATCTTGCAGAAACTATCCCCAAACGATGGCAGTTAAAAGTTTTCATTGGCTTAAGACCGACCCATAATCTTGTTGCATTTTACATTTTGTGGTGAATTTTAAAAAAAATGGAGTTTTAGTGACATTTTATTACATTTTGAAGTTAAAAATATTTACTACATCCATACATAGTTTGGAAATTCTACATATTACAGAGTTAAGGGTTTTTCTACTTATTATAAATAATTGCAAACAGTAAATTGTAAAGAAAGCCGAATAACCATGAATAATTAAAAGTCTTGCTAAGCTTTTATACATAAAAGGGTCAGTGGAGGAAGATATAAGCAGATTTACAACCTACTGAACAAAAAGGCCTCTGTTCTAATAGCTTGTTGTTTAATGTTAAAACAGAGCTTAATTCGAATATAAAAAAAAAAACACAGCCTCTCAGTTTGCTTGTGTGTGTTGGGTATTTGTGTCCTCTTGTTTAAGCTGCAAATTGAGTTTAGGTTGGGTTTAGGGTTAGGTAGGAAATTGTAATGGTTAGGTGCAGGGTAAGGGCCATGGTAAGGCAGTAGAAATTTATGGAAGTCAATTGAAAGGCACCGCAAAGACATTTAAAAAAGTCTTTCTGGTTGTGGATGTGTGAGTGTGTTGGGATGATTCTACAGCTGCAGAGCTTAGACACCAAAATAGAAGAAGGTGACACTGATTTTAGATTTGAATGTTCAGCTTCTGGAGTGTTCAGCCTCTAAAACATGACCCCAGCATAGCATATAAGCATAGCATAGCAATAAATTGGTTGATTCCATTTCATAATTTAAACTGTTACAGTAATGAGAATTTTTTTAAGCATTGGCCATAATGTTGTATAGTAGATTGCTTGTTGATTTGAATAATGGTATTCTAACCTTTGTGTTTCCCTTTCCTCTCCTTCTTTTCGCTGCCTGTCTGCGGAGTGGAGCTTTCTGATGCTTTGCCCTTTTTGGCTGAGCGAGGCAGCTGAGCTTCTGAAGTCACCTTCACCTCCTCCCGTTCAGGATCTTGCACTGCAGAACATTCAAATGAAGTAAAGATATGGAAAGTAATTTTCAGCAAAGTGAAGAAAATTGATACTTTATTTATAACATTTTAAAATTAATGAAAACAGTATTTTTAATGGAAAATGTTGGTTTTGAGAATTTGGGTTTATAAAAGAAAGTAGGAAAGCTTAAAACTGTTGACTTCTTGAACAGCAAATTTGTAATTCTTAGTTAGATCTATATAGAAAAAAAATCTATTACGCTTCCTTTGCTCTAAGTAAAAAGTACGACTTAATGGCTAGAAAATGTACCTGGTGTTTGTGCATCATAAGAGGACTTCATTAACATTCAGCTTAACACAGTTTCAACTCCTAAGTGTTTAGATTTGCAGGCATCAATAAAAAAGTGCTGTTAGCACAAAGAGCCGGTGTGAATTCCAAAGTCTGAGTCTGGCTGATCAAAAATTATGTTAATAAATTCAAAGATCAGTTATTATGGCTTTTACACAAAATTAAATGTTTCTACTGCTGCACATGGACAAGGTCTGAGAGATACTGACCTTCCTCGGTTTTCCCCAAAAAGTCTCTCTAAATTAAGTTAGAACACAATATTTAATTTCAAATAAGTATTTATAACTCTGAGCTTATTATTTAGTTTCTTTTCACATTATTGTTTTCATAATATTTGTTGGAGTCTAACCCCTTAAAGGTGCATTCAGACCAAGCACGGTGTCCAAGGCAAGGATGGTGGATTACATAATCTAACTATGCAAAAAGGGAAGCAATCAAAGGGTGAAGCAACCAGCAGTGAGTCCCACTCATTCCACCTTTTGCTACTACATAGAACTGAGATGTTGTCAAACAGCAGCACTGTATGGAGAGAGTAGAGCTGTGATCCCTGAGGTTGAAAAGACCTGAACTTTTCTATTAAATCACATGAAGTAGGTTAAAGAAGAGCAGCCAAAGCGAAGCTTTTTTCATTAGAAATCGGATATAGAGGAAATAATGTTAGTATGGAATGCTCTGAAGAAGATTTCAGTTGGCTTTTAAAAAGATCTTTTTATTTAGCCCTAGAAGGACCGTTCATCATCCTCCCTTATCTCCAGCACAAATCCCGGTCTGTCACTGTCCACTCCCCAGCATTGGTGCTGCATGGGTAGATTTACAAGAACCCATCGCCGAATCCGACACTCATCCAGACGCAGATCTGAAGGAACTACAGTGATCTGCTTTTTATCGCTTCAATTGCTTTTCTAAAAATTGATGGTCTCCCTGAGCCCATTAATCAGTTGTGCATAGAAAACAATTTACAAACAACAGTAACATGCATGATCTTTTTTTTGTGATAATTTTAACTACACAAACCTGCACTAAGATAGCACTAACCACTCAGTTTATTTGATGAATTTTATCACATGGGTGGGGTGTAGGCTTATGCTACTTCAATTTGATGATGCAGTCTAAGTGCAAACACTGTGCATCTGAAATGCAGAGCGGCAAACTTCCTGCGGTGCTCGCAGAAATCTCCAAAGACGTTGTGTTTGGTCTGAAATTTACAGGACTGAGGATCTCTGCTGTGGGCATGGCTGTGGGCTCCTGATTATCCACACCTGCGACTCGTTTTGTAATCACCCACTGGGAAAGGAGCAGTGTAGATGTCATAGCATGATGGTTAACCTACCTAATAGAATCAAGGCTCCTGAGAAATCATTAAAGATAAAGTGATGGCCAAATTAAGCTTCATAAAGCAATGAAGCTTTCAAACCCAATGCTTTGCCTAAAGGTTCATTACTTGATGCTTAATTCATTATTCACTATTGAGCAGCACAAACACTATGAAAGGCCTCATATTTAAAAAATAAGACAACAGTAACGAGTGCGTTGTTATACATATGCCTCATTACTTGTAAGTTATTAAAATTATTTATACCTAGAATAATCCTTCTAGTATGTTGACTTTCTTGTGGCAATTATTTTAGTTTATGTCATGGACAGATTTTTGCAAAGAAGATGGACTGTATGCTATCTGTTCATTATTTATTTCCTGGAAAACCTTACCGGTAATTCTAATTTATATTTTTCTGGGACTCCTCGAGATCCTTTATAGTCACTACCTACAGAAATTCATTCTTTTAACAGCATTCATTTTGTTTCTCCTGTGTGAGACTGAGTCAATGCTGATCAAATAAGTACATTTCAAATTTCTAGTGGATGAGTAATTGGGTATTAGTTATTTTGATCAAAAAATAGGACTTATTTCACAGTTTGGCTGTTTCTAATTTAGACAGATTAAACAATACATTTTTAAATGAAGACAATTTCATTGAGATAGATAAATAAACTTTAGGAAATAATAATAAATAATACATTTAGAAAACAAAAAGTCATACTCAGGCTGGTGTGTGTTTGTATTGTATAATTTCTCATGTACAGTTCTGTGATGCTGAAGCATTGCAGTATCATTACTGTAGACCAGCTCAAAACATCACAACCAACACTTAGACAACTTTTGATATCGTTTTGTATACACAGAGTGTATACAAAAATTTTGTTTTCTTCAGAAAGTGAATGAGCAGATGCTTAGCAGTAAAATTTACATTTCAATTTCATAAAGGGCAGCAGTGATCAAATGTAAACAGTGTGGGAGAAAAAACATGGTGCAAAACACATTGATATGAAAGTTCAGAGCATTACATGACAGACATATATAGTGAAAAATCTGAAAAACTAGACAACCTTATATGTCAAATGAGACAAAGTAAGTGCTAGTGATGAAATTATGACGCACTTCTTTAAACCTTGTTTTGAAGAGTAATTTCAAAGTAATCCCGTATGGGAGGGGCCCCTCTTTTTTTTTTTTTTTTTGCTGGTTCCATTCTTCTTTTAGACTATTCTGTTATAATACTCTTAGATGCTATTTCCAATGATGGAAAACCGAACCACCTACAACAACCAATGGAGCATCATGTTCCATTGAGCTTTTATTTTGAAATCTGACACCGGAAATGAAGCAGTGACATGAAAACAGTAATGTGAGGAGCATCGAAGCAGGGTTTCATTAGACACTCGGCACACGCCTCAGAGCCTAGCTGCAGATGCCCCAACACTAACAGCAGCCCATCTCAACTCTAACAGTTCACCCATTTTTACAAACTCAAAGAAACTAGAAATGTGAGTTACTTCAGAGGACTTTCATCTGTGGTTTAAAACAAGTTCTGAATGTATACATAAAAGCATCTGAGATATTTCATTGAATCAATCTGTTTCTGAACCCCTCTGTTTAACCTCTATAAATCAAAGGATGCTTGCAAGCTATTGGAGTTTTCTCACCATGGTAGAAGGTGCTGCTATTGCTGCTGAGGTAGGATTCAACCAGCGGGGCCTGTTCTTCACTCTGTTTGGTCCGCCGCGTTCGAGACCTCCCGTCTACGTTGGACTGGACCATCAGAGGCTCTTGCCTCTTCTTCTTCTGTTTCTGTTCAAGGAGGGCTCGCTGAGGTTTCAGCGGAAAATAAATGCCAGGGCAAAAGTCATTTAATGAAGGCACACTTTAGGCAAGTTTTCCTACAACAATTTCTCTACACTGGACAGCAACTATGTATGTTAATAAAAATCTCTGGTATGGCTATTTTACTGTATGTTTCAATTTAATTCAGTTTATTTATATAGCTCCAATTCACAACACATGTCGTCTCAAGGCACTTTACAGTTCACCAGATCATACAGTCAAATTGATTCAAAGTTTTCTATCGAAGGAAAACCAGCTGACTGTATCGACTCATTGACTCGAATGCAATCCCTCACACTAAGCATGCTTGTAGCGACAGTGGAGAGGAAAAACTCACTTTTAACAGTAAGAAACCTCCAGCAGAACCAGGCTGCTGATCTGGTGAACTATAAATTGCCTTGAGAGGACATGTGTTGTGAATTGGCGCTATATAAATTGAGTTGAACTGAATAGGAGTTTGAAATAATAATTTTAAGCTGCTGTCTGCAAATTCAAAATCTAGTCTATTGTTTCATTCATCCTTATAAAAAATAAATGTAATCCAAGGAGAAATCTTGATATATCTCCACAGCAACCTCAGCAGTATCATAAAGTAAATCCCTTCATGCACCTGAGCTTTAGAGAGAAATGTAAGGGACCTTCTGAACTGTAGGCAAGCAGGATTACTATAGCTTATCAGTTTTCTGTTGTGAGCTATTTCAGTTGCTTAATTTAAATTGTTCCTAATCTATTATGCTTTAAAGGCAATGTTAAATGGCCTGAAACAACATGACATCAGGCTAAATGGTTTTCGTGGCTTTTATCAGGACTAATTATATTCAACCAGAGCTTTTTAAATATTAAAGTTTCCCATTAGAGAATACATTAGATTGCACTATTAGATGAAGAAAAAGGAGATATTAAATCACATCCTGGACTACATACAAAAGGGATTGTTCAGTATGAATGTGATAATTTTTAGCTGTGGAATCTGTACAAGTAAAAAATATATTTTCATACACTGTCTGCCATTAAATATACTCTTATCTTTTACTGATGTATTTTAGCCAAAATTTAATTTAAATGCTGATATAATAAGACACAGATTCATACTGCTTTCTTTAAAATAAAAAGTTTGCACATAATAAGACTACCACTTTTTCTTCTTAAAGTTTCTGATACCAAATTCATCTTTGAGTTAAATGGAGGAGCATGTGAATACATTTTGAAGATGAATCTCCAAAACATTTTTAAGATGAATCTCTGTTTAAATCATAAGAAATCAAAAATAAATCAACCAAAATATACTGAGAAGAACAGTGAACCTCCATCAGTTTGTTTTATCCCTGGGTACAGTTTCTGGACACCTACAGGTTTCACATTTATCTCTTTAACAATTCTCTATGTTCAAAAAACAAGCTTTTTGGGTATGGAGTTATTCTTATTTCAGTCTCAACATAATTGACAGCTGAGAATTGAAAGCCTCAATACCAATAAAAAAATAATAAGAAAGGACTCTCTGACTCGTGATCTTCTTATAATGTACTTTGTTGATGTTATGATGTAAATATTTAAAAAGAATCGTATGAATCATAGCTTTAAAAAAAACATTATTTAAGACCAGCTATTGAGTTGTTTTGTTTATGTGTTGCAGAAATACAGAGTATCTCATCAGGGAACAATTTAGTAAAAAACCCTTTCCACAGTGACACCTCTTTTACGATAAATCTTTCCTGAATTATTCAATTTTTTTCTCCGTGCAGGACTATTTTTATCAGCGATATGGGATGAATATTTAAGGCTCACCTGTCTGTCCAGTTTCTGCTGTCGGAGGGTTGTCCCCTCATCATCTAAAGTGCTTTGGAGAAATGAACAGAAGAAGAACCAGGTTACAATAAATGTTAGAAAAAAAAGGATATCATGAACAGTGGTGTGAAAAAAATATTTTCTCATTTCACTGATCTGAAAAGTTTCAAACCATTAAATATTTTTTTTTATATAACAAATAGAAAAAACAATAGGCTATCATATTCAGTCCATTATCTGGACCACGTAAATACGTATTAACTTAAATTTTTTAAATGAGACTGACTGACACATCCCTTAAGTTCATTTTTATGCATGATCGTTGTCCGTTACTTAGAACATGTCTACAAATCATGTCATCATCAAAAGAAACAAAATAAAAATAACAAAAACATAATTAGCACCTAAATATGGAAAAGGTCATACAACTATTTTTATGGCTTTGGGAATGCAGTGCACCTCTATTATAGCCATTATCTACAAATGAAAGAAACATAAACAAGTGCTAGACATTCCTAGGAATAGCCTACGGACCTGTAAGCCTGAAAATGATTAGGATTTTCAATATAATGAAGAATAATACCGAAGAACAATTATAATTGTGTAAAAGCATTTCTAAACTGTTCTAGATTGCCTATGGCTGAGTTATCAACAGCTTATGTGGACTGCACATCTGATCTGAGCTAGAAGAAAATTAATTTGTTTTAATCTCAACACTTGCCACCTGTTATACTTTCTTAGGTCACACATTTCACATGCTAATCAAAGAACAGAAAAACAAGATCTGACAACATTAACAGACTGACTAACTTTCTAAAACATAGGTGAGATATCAGTAATATTTTGAAGCAGCGCTGTGTAATTTTAAGCCACTAGAGGCACTAGACCTGTAAATTTCAGTTTTAGAGGGCCTCATAGCCACATGCAGCACTGCAATATCTAAATTATACAGTCTTCCTCTGTGTTTTGGGCTCTGATAGCAAACCGCTCTGGACCAGTAGAGAACCCATGGAGTTAGTTGTGATGACAATGCCACATTCAACCCTTTAGATTCAATCCTTCATCATAAGGTGAGTAGCGTATCTGTTTTGTAGCAAAACCTAAATTTTTCAAGGTTAACTGTGCTTTGGGTCACATGGCCCATTCATTGTTGGATCCAACTACCGTTGAGCGATTAAACGATTTTCATTGATTAATTAAATTTTTTTTTTTTTTTTTTTTGAAGATTTAATTTCTGGAAAATCAAGATTTTTCTTTTTTCACAAATCCGCTCCTTGGCCTTTTATATCTCAGAGTGATGTCAGTTCATTAAACTTTCTGTTTTTAGATATGTACTGTACCTATAACTGATTACCTAGCACTCTATGTAACACCACTAGCTGCAAACATTTAGTTAATCAATTTTTATTGTTTGATGTGAGTCATTATTATTTTACAAGCATGTTTAACATCTTAAACGCCATTGGCCTTTGGTTCACCTGACAGAGGAAGTAGTTGAAATAAAAGCTAATTTTTAAAAGCAAATATGTCTAATTTGTCATTTTAATTATTAAATGTAAGTGAAATAAAAGATTTATCAGAATGGTAGGGAAACATTGGAGATCTTACTTTTAAGCCATATGACTGTGCCCTAGATTTAATCCTCTAAATTACAATGGTGGGTTTCTGAAACGGGTACATGCGATAACCTGAAAAATAACTTTACATAAGTCAAATTAAGCTAATACTTGGGTCAAAACATACATAGTGCTGTCTATAATATAAAGACAATTTTATATCAAAGGACACCAAATAATATATTTGCAGTTCATATGAATTTTTTCACTTTTTCTTTTGGATTACGTTTTTTTTATTTTTTCACTCACCCTGTTGACAAAGCCTCCACTATAGATATGGTTTCTGTTATATACAGAAACCATATCCAACCTCAACTCTTTACATTCTGAGCTCTGAAAGCCCAGATTTAACAAAGAGCAAGGGACATGTCTGTTTAAAGAGCAATCGCATTTAAAAAAAATGTAAAAAAAAATCATATTTTTTGTTCTCTGTGCATAGAATTGGAGCAGAATACAAGTAAGACATTTTTTTTAAGCATTTGAAGTGCAGTCCACCTCAGAGAGAGTAGAACTAGAGGAGCTCTAATACTTTATGACATTTTGTTACTGCTTGTTAGTTTACCCTGTTTCAGCAGCTTTCATTTTAACTGTCCATCAAAGTAGCTTTGCTGTTAGAGCATGTCCATGTGCCTGTCTGGGCTTCTGGTACATGGAGTAAAACTCATCAGGCTGAAAAAAAAACAGATCAAGCTCCACTAAAATCTAATTTTGAATGTATTTGTGACAATTTGTAATCCACAAACACAGTTAGACTCTGACTGATGGCAGTCTAGCATTTAAAATTCTCCCTGCAGACACAAACAGCACTTAATTTCTAAAGCTGCGTGCTTCTTCTTTGTCACTATGAAATGTTTAAAATAGTTTTTCTATTATGGAGACTATACAGCTCTTACAAAGGAAACTTTGCATGACAATGAATAATAAAAACCTTCATTATTCATATAGTGTTCATCCTGCTGTCAAGTTTATATCATTCTGGGCAAATAAAACAGTAGACATCATTAACGAGACACATGATATTTGCAGAACGGGTGATTGTAGACTTTCATTCTTGCATCGAGTTTTCCCTTCAGAGTTTTTTTAATCACCAGCGACAAACTCACTTATTGTTCCTGCAGTGCTTGTGGCTGAGCATTGTGCGGAGGCCTCTGAGAAAAACCTCAGTGGCTTTAATTAAAAAGATTTATGCAAAAGATTCAGAGGAAAAGAACCAGAGCAAGGGAGAAAAGATGAAAGACTGCTGGGTGGAGGGGTCCCTTGATGAGTAATGAATGGGGGAAATTATGTTCAGTTTTTTTATGCCACCAACTACAACATGCTGTTTAACATGTATTTAGGTTTCATCAGAAAAATACAGATTTTCTAAATGTAGCTTAAAATAATCATGAGACTGATCCTTTTCTTTTGTTGATTTTTATTGATCATAGTGTTTTTTTCATATTCATCATGTGTTGCTACTTAGATGGTTTCAAAGTACAAAATATTCTATCTTGACCTTTAGCATGTTGGACTCAGCCTCTACCTTCATGTTGATATGCCTGCGGTGTAAAAATACATGCATATTGTAAAATACATTTCATGTCTTTGTAGGACTATATTTTATGCTTTACATTGGAAACAACTTTGCATTGTTTTCAAGGTAAACCTTTTATGCTAAGTCACTCAAAGTATGAATTTCTACTTTGTGGTCTATAGTTTGGGTTTTCATTTTTGAAAATAAAACAAAAAGGCTCTAATGGCAGCGAATGGGATTCTAAGAAGGGAAATCTGGAAATTGATTGAAATTGAATGCTTTAGTTTCAACATCCATCCACTTATCCATCCATCCATCCATCCATCCATCCATCCATTCATCCATGCATCCATCCATTCATCCATGCATCCATCCATCTACCCATCCATCCATTTGTCCATCCGTCCGTCCATCCCAAGGGTAAGAACAGAGGACCCAGTATTCAAGGCAAGACAGACAGATTGTTCCTCTTCTCTGTACTTCCTCTGACTTCTAAAATTCTGGCCTGGAAACCTGTTTCTGCTTTGCCTCTGCCTTGGATTTTCCCTTCTGCTCCTCTGCGTGCTCTGGCTTCTGCTTGTCATTGCTCCACTTCTCTCCTGGAACACTGGAAGCGGCTCCATCACAAGCTATGGAGAAACCACTCATCCTGACTTCACTCCCTCTTCTGGGCTCAGACTGAACTTTACCAGGTTGGTGACAATCATGCTCATTATTGCTTCCTGTCTGAGTTCTGAAGTCACTGACTTGAGTTTCCGTCTCTACAGAGTATCCAGTGAACCCGCCCCAGCTGACGAGCAGTCACAGGTTTATATTTTAATAAAAGGCTTGTTCTGAAATCACCCTAAACTGTGTGCTTGACTTGTGGGTCCTACATTCTAAGCTCCTGACATTTATTTGATTTACTGCACTGCAAACAAATTCAAAGTTAAAGAATGTAATACTCCCATTTGGACTAAGTCCCAAGATCGTACTTGAGACAAAAACAATATCAATTTTCTTTACAAGCTGGTTTATGGCTTTGCCAGGCTGATGAACTGGTTGCATAACAATCATGAGCTTCTCATGCTACCCATTTTAGATCAATGTCAGCAGCATCAGAAAAAAATAAACATTTAGAAAAATGTCTATTTATTTTAGTTCTGAAACATTTAACTCCTTTGTCAATGCATGAGAAATACATTCTAATCTCTCAGGTAAAGCATCGGTCAGTAAATAATCACTATGCTGCAGATGAGAAAAGCCCACGCAGTTGCAATAAAGATATATTTACTGCCCATTTTCTGTGAAACATGCTGACAAACAAAGCACTCTATTTCTGCAATTAGAGCATTCAAGAGCGAAAATAAGCATCAGACAGGAAGATAATGACACAAACATGGCTCCAAAGATACAGGTCAAACAGCTCTTCACTTTGAAAAGAGTCTCTGGTCACTGGTATCCTGCAGCACATCAGCTGGTTTTACAGCATCCGTAAAGTGTAACGGTGCATTTGATCTAACAGAAAGTGGCATACTGAGTATATGGATGTGATATGGCATTGAGGTAGAGTTTCACCTTTTCTAACTAGGCCTGCAGAATAACCAGGAAGTTTGCAATTGTTAACAGAACATTAAAGAAACTTTTGTTGTGTGCTGCGATGCAGCTGCACTGTATGTTAATTAACACATTGATAATGTCAGACATTCAAAGTACCTAAATCCAAATCTTCTCATGTGCACAATACTAGCCACCTAAACTCTCAACATGTTAGGGGAATTTTGTTGAAAGTCAGCTCAATTTAAACATCTAGCATTTACAATTCCATTATGCCCACACCAAAAAAATGATTAGATTCTGTTTTATATTAGAATAGTGGAGTTTGACTTTACAGACACCTTTCAAACATTCCTATCTCTATCATCAGTTTTCACACATTATGTGTCTGTGCATGACTCAAACATGGACTTAATTTCTAATTTGCATGGTGCCATCCATGAAATCTGATGGTGCTAAGGGGAGAATGAATCACATGTGGACTGCATAGATATAATTTGACCTTGAAGGTGAATCAGAAACGATTATAGCTTGCTGTTTTTTTTCCTCAAAAACCAACAAAAGATAAGAATTATTCAACCCTCATGGGCTCATCTTTCAACACAAAATAAGAGATTCATCCCTTCATAACTAACAACACAAATATGGTGAATTCGCTCCCAGCAGAGGAACAACTGTGTAATGAGGAATGCTTCTTTGTGTGTCTTCTCAGATTGGCTCCCATCTTTTTGTTGATATCCATGAATATATGTGCTCTGTATTTGTGTGAGTTGACTGCTGTGACCTAAACCAGGGCACACAGGGCCTTGATTGTTTAATTGTTTAATTCAAACTCACTGAGGGCTAACAAAATAATCCCTGTTAATGTTTACAGGTTTGCACCAACCACTTCCCTCTTTAATTTGTTCTTTTGAGAAAAGAATTGTGTGTGGTTTTGTAATTTTGTCTGCCGCTTTGTAATGCTCATTTCCAGACTGGTGTTTATGAAAATTGTAAATTCATGATAAAGGCACACAGATTATAAGCCAATTTCATCAAAGCAAACAGGGGAAACCATGATAATAGTTTCTCAACTAGAGCAAAGAGTCAGCAGATTCATACTGCACTCGAAATTATTAAAACAGTTACAGTTTTGACAGCAGGAGGCTAAAATCTCGTTATGGCTCCAATTTCTTTGCTATTTCCCAATAAAAATTATTTTATCATCATATACAAATGACAGTAGAGCATTTTCTGCATTGGTAAAACCTCTGGTTGCACATAAAAAAGACATTTATGCAAAATGAAAGGAACTTATTATTCAACTTAAAACACAGAATAAATAAAAAATAACAGAATAATCATATAGCCCAAATATCATCAATCTACAACTGAAATAGACTGAAAATAACTGTTTGATTAGAGCTGTTAACACAGAAAACAAACACATGCCTTTTTTTCTGGTCCCCTTCATACTGATTGATATAAATTATTCTGTTTTTCTCTGCTTTGCAAATGATTAAATATAGCCAACATTGTTTCCACAAAACAAAAAAATGAATAATAAATGTAATTTACATCAGTTTCTGATTTTCTCACAATCTTCCTCTTGTCATTCCTTTCTTTCACATCTGGACGCTCACACACATACACACAAACTCTCCTTCAGAACACGAATGCAATGCTGCTTTTGCATGCTCTCGAGAACCTGCTACAGTACCTGTAGGGGATCCAGTCGGAGGAGTGCTTGGAGCTCATTCTGTATTGACTGCTACTGCCCTCTCTGTGAGGCTGACGGCCTGCGACAACCACTGAGAGTGGCTATGAGGTCTGAGCACAGCGATCAGAGCCACACAGCCTACATCTCCTGTTCATCCTCTGCGCTCAGCTCTCTGCTGCGAGCCTGTCTGTGTTTCTTCGTTTCTCCTCTAAAAGCAGAGCAGTGGCTAATTTGAAAAATCCACTCAGATGGCAGCAGGCTTCCCTTCAGGGCTGCACGTTGACCACATGAAATACCCGATTCTTCTTGTCCATGCATATGCCTCCGGTCAATGCCTCTCCTCTTCTCTCCTTCCATTCGCTGCCTGTTCTCTTTGCGCTGGCTCTCTTCCCTCACTCTCACTCTCTTGTCTGGATCTCCCTCTGTTTCTTTCCCTTTAAATCCCCCCTCCTCCTTCTCTTTATTCCCAATCCAAATCCATCTCTCTCTGTTTTTCCCGATCAAACTCCTGTTATCTGTGTTGCAGCATCACCTGCAGCAGCAAAAGCGAAGACTTAGGATGGGGGTGGGGGGGAAGCATGAGATCGCCCTCTGCTTTGCTTCCTTGAAATTCCCACCATGCTATTTCTGAACAGTGCCACCCACTCATTCTAGTGCTACCCTCCACCCTTTCTTTTAACACTATGCATCTTTCTTGCATCCTATCAGGCATGTAAAGCAGGGACTGGGATGTGTTTTCTAGGCAATAATTTATTTATTTGCAGCAAAGAGGAATTAGCATATGAGTGTGCAGACCAGGGCCAACAGCCTTTAATTCAACACTCTCCACAGCCAAACAAAGGTACTCTGTGATAGTGCCACAGCTCAGAACCTCGCGCACATCTGCTTCCGCCCTCCCTATACCACCCCTCACTGTCTCTACACAAACACACACCACTTACTGTGCTCTCTGGGTTATTTAGGAGTCCATCTATAGGCAGTTAAATTAAGCAGTTTCCCCACAACAACACTGGATTACAAGGAGTCAATTCAGGTCCCTGAAACAAGCAAATTCATTCGAACTGAGTAATCTGCACTTATTGATCTCTCTTCTGTAGGAATCTGTAAGCTCAGACTGCACGTTTTTTTACATGAACTGTTTCCCTAGAGCAGTTGGTAATTTCTTGGGAAAACACCTGCATTGGAGGGTGGCCAAAATCTCTGAAAAGAGCTAAGACATATCTTACCTTGCCAGATTCATTTCCCCATGTCAAGGCACATCAGGGGAAGATCCAGTTAAATTCACAATCACGTGGCTAATTTAGAAGACATTGTTTATATTACCTATTAATCCTTCCTTAAAAACAACCATCACCGAGCAAGTTCTGTGGTTGAGTGTTAATTTAAACAGGTGAAAACACCAAAACACAACTGGTTGAGCCCCAGAAAGCAACCAGATCCTACAAAAGCTTAGCATGCTGCTGAGAATTCAACTAAATATTCTGTTAAGTTTAATAAAGATGATTTGCCTTAGAAGCTTTTATGTTTATAATCCTGCATATCTTATGAATGGTATTAGAAATAAATTACATGTGTTTTCTCAATAGAATAAGAAATAAAAATAATGGAGACACTTATACAGAAATAGAATTGATGAAATACTTTGATATTTTGGGTTTTCAGAATAAAACAACAGTGGGAGAGAGAACAGCAGGTAATATTGTTTTGTTACGATGGGATAGTCATCTTTAGCTAATTTCCCCTCATTAGCTAAAGTAGTTGCACTGGTTTCACTACTTGTTGAGATACATACAGATCTAAAAAAGATGACATGTTCAATTGTTTACCTTTACCATATAATTTAGCCTTATTAATAAAAAAAAGACTTCAAATGACTTGAGTTTTAAAGTTTCTGACTTCAGACTTGACATGAGTTACCTGTCTTTACTTGAGAGTTGAACTGGGATTTGATGATAAAGACTTGAGACGTGCATATCAATGACTATCCCGAATATGCCAATTTCTCTGTTTTGCAAGGATCTTGGAATTAATTTTTCCCAGCAAATGATTAATTATACACTGAAGTTAAATTATTTAAAAGACAACCTAAGACTTTTAGTCAGTATGTAAAAACATAAAAATAAAAATTCAAATCCATCATTGACATGAGACCCATTGTACACAGGGAATGACATTACATCACTAGTCAAACATAGAATGACCTTTTCTACATTGATTTGAAAGGTGATCTAATTTTCAATTAAAGTTCTGGCTCCTTATCAGAGTTAATTATAATCAGATCAACATGCTTTAGTTATTAACAAATCTGATAAATTACATGCTAGGAAATACTTTTGAGCTTCTTTAGGGTGTTTGGTTACCCTAAAATTGCAAAAGTGGCGCCAACCACCAGCAAACAATAAATCTACAACCTCTTTAAAAATAATAACACACATTCAAGTGATTTGTGATGTATCACAATAGGTTGTTTTTTTTTATAAATACATAAGCTAAAAGAGGGGATTAGATTTTAGAGGGGATTACATTTTACATGTGGGCTTTTTATTTGTACATCCAACAACAGGGCTCTAACAAAAATAGTTCATGCACTTTGGGATATACACATTTTAAGCTCACTGGAAGTCAAACATTTCAATTTAACCTGCAGCTGCTGATGGCATGGAAACTGAGCAGAGGATGTGTATTATTGCTACTGATCCAGTCAAACCTATAGACCTATGGTCTTAATTTTCTCCCCTTCTCACAGTAAGGTGCCTTTTCTCCATCCTCTTAATTTTCCATCCTTTTTCTTTCCCACTGTAATTGATCATTATGACTACCGTCTAGGGTGGAATAGAGAAAAATAAGTAGAAGCATCAACACTAACCATAAACTAGCTCAACTTGAGAACATTAAGAGCACTGACTGACCTTTTAAATTGTATAATCTTGAAAAGGCTAATTTAAAATTAGAATTCGCTTACAAAAAAACAGCCATTCAAAGAACAACACATGAATAAATATAAATCACTTGACACAAGGTCAATTTCAAAAAGGCTTACCCCAGGGGGTAACCAGCTTTCGTTACACCAACTTTTTAAACCCAATTACAAAACACAAGGAGACAAGCTTTAAAAAATCCTAAATCAAATTAACTTGGGTTGTTTTTATTTTTATTTTTCGTAACTTTTTAAAACTGTCAAACAGTGCATTTTATTCCAAAACCAATACCCAGTTGCTCCTGCTTTAAAAGTGCCTGTGGATGTTCATTAAAATTACATTTGTTAACCTTCAGTATTTCATGGTGTTATAAAATCCATCCTAGTAGGGATTTGCTTCATTAAAAAAGGATGATTAAATTGTTCTATTGCTTAAGATAACAACACATTTTTATAAGATATCAACAAATTTATTCTTACCTCAAGCAAGTTTAGATTTGCTATTATTTGTGTTCAACCAAGCAGTTTCATTCTTATTGGAAATGAAACAGGCATCTGTTGAGAGGTTGTACATCGATGCATCTTTATCCATTATGACAAAGAAAAATCTGTTTTACTTTACATCAGGGGGGCCCAATGACGGTGCCTGTAGGCACCAATGCTCCCTCAGGGACCAAACTGCGTGCTCTCAAGCCTCTCCTATATATCCCACATCTCACCAGTGATGTGAGAGTCTAAAATTTAACTATATTTTGTTGCCTTCTTTCAAGCAAATTTGCATTTATTGACATTTAAAGAGGACAATATATAAAAGAAACTTTAACAATATGTTTGTTTAAGGCTGTCTCTTCCAGTTTGTAGGTCAGTATTGGTAGTTTATAGTTATATGACTAATTGGCCAAAAAAAACCTTGTTGTTGATGTCGACAGTGCAACGAAAATTAGGGAAGTAAACAATGGAGAGTAACATGGAGAAGAGCCAGAATGTAGTCAGTATCCTTTATTACTTCGCTTTTCATCTGTTTAACTCCCTCCTACCATTGCTGCGCTATGTTTATCGAATGTAAAAAGAGTTGTTTAGGCTTGTTAGATCAGAAGCTACTGGCACAGTGTGTTGACCTCCATCTGTTGCATTCAGTGGTGTCACGTATTTTAGGTCTGGTGTTCAACCGGCATGCTGATCAGAGCCAAGGCGATTTTAACTTGGGTCGCTTGGTGAGTCAGTTGACCAGGATAGACACGTCAGTTCCCACTGCCACTAAAAGCTGATTGTTCCCGGATTTAAATGGGTTTTACGGCCACAGTGAAAGGGCTTTTCAGAGTCAAAGAGGTTATGAATCCCTGCTTTACACTGTAGCAATAAAAAAGTCAAATTTCAGCCATTTCTAAGTTTCCATTAAAATTGTAAGGATTTTTTTCTTCTAAAAATCTTTGATGTCAGTGGCTTCTTTTTGATTGCCCTGATCTTCACTGCCCTCCACAGACTCTACTACTCTACTACTAGGTCTACTACACTGTACAGTTGATGTGGACTTGTTTTTATCCAATTTAAATGCATTTACCAATTTTTATTAACTTTCATAGATGAGAATATCGTGATTTATTTTTTAACTACACATTGTAAGAACATTTATTCATTTTTTGTCAGTCTCTAAGCAAATTGGCACTGCCCAGGGTTGAGCTGCTTACCTCAGTTCTCCTAAACTACATAAACTCCAAGGCTTAGCTAATAACGACAAAAAGTAAACCTATCTAAGATTTATAATTTACAATAATCTATTGCTCTTTGATTAACTTCATACTGTATATTAGCTTTTCACTTATTACCAAAGCCTCTCTTATAAGTCAAATATGGATAATGGACATCCACAAAAATCCTGGGCTATAGGATGTGGATGTGAAATATTTGATTTCCATCCTGAAATCTAAAAATGTCTATGTCAGGGGAACACCCCAGACTTTTAGATATATTCTTAAAGAAAGTTCTGGTCAGTTTTTATGGCATCTACTTGTACAGAGTTAAAGGCACTACAGAAAAGAGTTTTTGCAATGTTGGAACTGGACTTTTCAATGGCATGTCTCTATGGCAGTTGTCAGAGTAGCATCCATTATATTAGAACTTTTTCAACAAATCAATGTATTTTAAATACATAAAAAGCATATATCTGAATGCTATTGTTCATGAAGCCCCATGTCCGCAGAACAGGTATAACCTCTAAAGGCTTTAGCATTTAATGCTGAAGAAAGCACTTAAAAATGTGGGAGACTGGAAACAGAGTGGGAGACTAACTAACTTACTTTCTACCCCATATTTTCCTTCCCTCCCTGTGGGCTAACAACATGCATATAACAACAAAACGATAAGATCCTCTTAACAAATTAAATTTTTCTGGAAGACAATTTGTCCCCTGTTTTCCCAGAGGCATTTTACAGTTGGTAACAAGAGGCCAGCAGGACCATTAATTACAATAATTGAACTTGCATAAAAGACACACTGATGTAAAAATGGATATCTGGCTTATGTCTGCCTGTCTCATCAGAATGACTGAAACACAGCTGTACAGCACGCAGCTTTAATAATACAGCACCCTTAACATAGACACAGCAGACATAAAGACTGAGGACGCACTTTTCTATCTGTGTGGGTTGCAGTGCTAATAGGTACTTTTTTATCCACTAAAATCTATGTAAAAA